TTATATGGGTTTCGTTAGCACACACAGTTCAAACACCTTGCGTAAATGTCAATTTCAATGCCCAACTTTTTCATGAAATTCGATTTCGCTAATTTCGTAATAATTTTGGGAAAATATTCGCCATTGTGCTATATAATTTCTGTGCCTAAAATGAATGATAGCGCACTCTTTTACATTTAACGTACAGAAGCCAGTATTTTCTTGTTATTCAACTAGACCAGCCACTCCATTTAAGCTTGAAATTGTAAACTACGACTGAACAAAATTACGTTTAGCATCTATGAGGAATTAACCTTGAAGGTTCAATAATGTAGAAGAAGTAGGGGAACGAAAAATGAGAATAAATCCAACAAATTAAGGTTGAACAATATTTGCTCATCTTTTATCCTATTCCTATCTTAGAACGGCATGCAAAATATTCATGTGAAGATTGCATCTGACTGATCAATGTTTTAGAGAAGTCTAGAGGTTTCGTTTGGCACTCAACTTTATGCAGTTATCCTACTCAGAACTTGTGACCAGAGTGGCTTTTGATTTAACCACGTCACTCCGTTGGGAATTTTCATATCTCATTTAAATTCCTTTTTTGATATTTTTAAATTAAATAAAAGTATTCCGTCTAATGTCATAGAAAAGCTTCATGCAATCCCTTCGATCTATATGGAACTCGGAGATGCTTTCTTGATGTTGAGAAACGGAATATAGCAAATGATCTCGAATTTTCGTCAACATTGTTATCCGCAAATAACTGCGAATTATATTCTCAATACGGCAAAAAAGTCTATCACTCGGCATTCGTTTTTGACTTCGATTAATTATGATTAGCTTTAAAAAAGGCTATAAGAAAAATCGCCCTCGTCAGGGCGAATTACAATGTCTTCAGATCCTCCAGTGGAATGCTGGAGGAATGTCTCCGGACAAAAAGATCCAAATACAGAAAATCCTGCAAACCTATGATGTAGACATTTTCACAATTATGGAAGCTAACATTTCGGATGACAAACTGAAGTATTACCAATTCCCAGGTTACACCCTGTACAATCTACCTAAATACCGGCAAGTTGCAAGTGGAATTCTAACTGGAGTAAAAGATGGCCTCACCTCACACTACGACCTAATCAAGAGTATGGGCTCGACACAAGACAAATGTGAAATAATCAGATTAAATGTTTGGAAATGTCAAAACCAATTCAAGATATATGCAGTCTATAATCCTCCCCAGAATTGTCCAAACTTTGACTTTCTGAACATCTCACACAAAACTATAGTATAAGGAGACTTCAACGCCCACTCCACCAGATGGGGCTACAAGGATACAAACATAGCTGGAAAGGAAATTGAAGACATGCTAAACAGCAACATTCTGGAACTTATTTAAAGCAATGAGGATCCGGCTACATATTTGCACTACAATGGATACAGAACAA